GCCCAGGATGCCTAGGTTCCGCGGAAGGAGGTCAGCTGCCTTGTGGGAAACACTTACTTTAAGTCTTTGCCTTCATTGCGGCTCGTCTCTGGTCAGGTCAAGGCCAGAGATCCAGCGTTACATTTAGGGTTTAGTTAGGGTTTAGGGTTTAGCTAGGGTTTAGGGTTTCGAAATATGACTCTGCTTCTGTAGCTTCCAGCTTCGCTGCTGCTTCTGCTGCTGCTGCTGCTGCTGCTGCTGCTGGTGCTGCTGTACTTTTTGCTGCTGCACTGCGTCAGCAGCAGCAGCTGCCTCTGTCTGTCTCTGTACCTGTCTCCTTTCTCTCTCTTTTTCTTTTTTTCTCTCTATCTGTCTCTCTTTGTCTCTCTGTATCTGTTTATTTATTTGTATCCTTTATTTATTTATTTATTTTTATTTATTTGTCTCCTTTATTTATTTATTTATTTATTTTTATTTATTTGTCGTTTTCTGTCTCTATTCTAATAAAAATAAATAAACAAATAAACAAACAGAAAAAGGAGACAAATATATAAACAACAAAAGGAGACAGATATAAAGAAACAAAAGGAGACAGATAAACACACAAAAGGAGACAAATGCAGATAGAAAAGGAGACAGATAGAGAGACAAAAGGAGACAGAGAAATGAAGAGACAGAAAAAGGAGACAAAGATAAAGAAACAGAAAAAGGAGACAGAGATAAAGAAACAAAAGGAGACAAATAAAAAGAGAAAAGGAGACAGATAAAGAAACAGAAAAAGGAGACAGAAGGAGACAGAGCAGCTGAAGCAAAACAATATTATACGGATGTCCCCACGATAGTAAACACAATTGCTGCTGCAGCAACTTGCTGCTGCAGCAACTGTTGCTGCTGCTGCTGCTGCTGCCACTGCAGCTGCTGCAGCTACTCCTGCTGCTGCAGCAGCAACTGCAGCAGCAGCAACTGCTGCAGCAGCAGCTGCTGCAGCAGCAGCATGTCTGCCGTTTCAGAGGGCCACAGAGGAGGCCTGGGGAAGTGGAAGGCAACTGCTGCA